TGTCGTGTCTTTCCACCGATATGCCAAATGTGAGTTGTGGAGTCTTCTCTCAACACATCCCCCCGCACACCGGGGGTCCGGTAGGAAATCCGGGGAGTTGAAGTCCAGACATCTTAGAGTTACCAAGGTTGAGAAACACTGGCCTAGATCATTTGTGATAGGTCTCAGGTCTCTCTCACATGCCCCTCTTTGGTATGGCTAAAACAGTGATGGCAAACCTTTTGGGCTCGATGTATCAAAAATTCAGAAAATGTCTAACTTGATGCTGCTGGCCTGTCACCCTCCCCCCAACAAAAGAGAATCAATTCTTTACATATTCATTTATTTAAAAAAAATACAGTCCAATCATGTGTGGAGTCATGTATTATATAAAGAAATGTCAAATAATTACAACAATCAAATACGAGTAAAACAAACTCAGTTTCTTTGGTAACTCAAACAGGGACAATGGTTGTTGCCGGGTGTTGATGAACGCTGGCGTGTCACCCAAAACATTGTGGCATGTCACCTTTGACACATGTGGCAGGTTCACCATCACTACGCTAGAATAAAAATGAAGCCAAGCTGATCGTAATAGCTGGTTTTGACTTCATCAGGAACCATGCTGCAAATATTTAAATGGAACTTGAAACTTTTTATTGGATAGACTTTAATGCAGCTCTACACACACTTATAAAGATACATCTCTGCAATAAATGAATAAAAAATATTGAACTATTACAGAAAATATAGAGACGTTCCAAAAAGAAGCTGAATGGAAGAGAAACGTCTGAAACCGACACCTGAGCTCTTACTTAGCTCGAAGAGGAGCTTTGATTCTTTGAATCTTCACAGATTCATTTCAGTGAGCTCTGTAGAAGAGGAATTCAGACTCATGGGGAATTAGGTCCTAGACCTAATATGCAAAAGTGAATGGAAATGAAAGAAAGAAAGAAAAAAACCTGTCAGGCACAGATCTCTGTAGGGGGATGTCAAAAAAGTCTGTGTGATTTTTAGGTGTGCACATAAAAACGGGTGGGATTTCAATCATGCAGTCGCAGCCACCATCTTGCCTTTTTTTTGACACCCCCCACTGGCAGACACCCTGCTGTCATATGTTCCCCTCTAAGGAATCTTAGAATCGGCCACTATCAAACAGTATCTTCTGCAACATCCTAGCTGTCCCCTCAGAAAGTTCTCCCTTAGAGAAAACATTGATATGAAATTTTGTTCCAGTACACAGCACAGGTGAGGAAGCTGAGGATTACTCATACTGTAGCTGCCTGGCCATCAGGAGCTGTAATTCAGCAACCTCTGGAAGATCATGGGTTCCCCACCTCTGATCATGGAATAAGAGAATCATATTAACTTCAGAACTTCGGAATTATTCAGATCTTCTGGCCCCCTCAACTGCTTGAAAACCTTCAGTGAAGTAATCATTCTCTTGCTACAGTTTATTTTTTGTATTTATTAGTTGGTTGATTTGCTAAAATATTTATCTTCTGCCTTTGTGTGGCTGGCCTGCTGTTCATTAGAAGCATCTAACAGTGTTTTCTAACAAATGCGACCAAAAGAACCCAACCATTTGAAAGATATTGACTGGCTTCATCGATCATGCCGAGATACAATACTGGATTATGGTGTAGCATATTGTCTAAATGCAGCAAATATGGCTTGTCAACCACGGGTTATGGTTTAGCATGTTGTATGAACTGAGACAATAGTGGGTTATTCAATAAATAGATTAAATAAGCCATAGCTTAGTATAATGTGGGAATCTAGCATAGAGGCAAAGTGAGATGTCACTGGACTGACTTTAAACTTGACGTTAGAATCCAAACCTGGATTGAGACAGCTGGTTTTAAAAAGCAGCTAAGAGGATCAATTCAACAAACCAAACAGGTGTCAGGGGCAAAAAAGGTCAGAAATTAAGCCAGCCTTCCCAAATATTATGCCCTCCCAGTGTCTTGCACTATATTTACCATCATCCTCAGCAATATTTATTAACAATGGTGGGAAAGGCTGTCTCAGATTCTATTTTACAAAGGAGTCAACAAACACTCCATACTTGGTTGTTTTTTTAAAAATTAGTGTGACATAAATACTACATATAATTTGAAGACTAAAGATCTGTTAGAGCAACTTTAGTTCCACAGAGTTTTAGCAGGTAATAATATACTTGGCCCAGTTTGTCTTGCCTCAGAAGCTAAACAAGGTTGGGCTGTTTAGTCCTGAGATGGGAGACCTCCAGGCAGGATCAGGGTTATAAGCTAGCCTGGGAAGAAGGCAATGGCAAATCATTACTGTATTGACTGGTGTGGGTCTTCCGGGCTGTGTGGCCGTGTTCTGGAAGTTTTGTTTCCTAACGTTTCGCCACCATCTGTGACCGGCATCTTCAGAGGGCAGGAGCAGTTCTCCCTGGGCACAGAGAGAATTGCTCCTGTCTTTGCTCGTGCCCTCTGAAGATGCCAGTAACACCAGTAACACAGTAGTCCAGTAACACAGAGATACTGGACACACCAACAGCCGCTATACCAGGCTACACCGGGAAGCCATTGAGATTCACAAACACCAGCACAGTTTCAATAAAAAAGAGGAAAGTCTAAAAAT